CCCCAAAACCCCAAAACCCCAAAACCCCAAAACCCCTTTAAAGTTTAAAAAGATTGGGTGAAATATTATAACTAATAAAAATGTCAAAGACTTCTCGAGAACCTATCAAAGTAAAGCTCTCTTTCAATGGAGAAACCAGGAAAATATCTTCTGCCCACAGTTTCAATGAACTCCATGATACAATCTGTCAGATGTTTGGGCTGCAGCCTGACTCCTTCAGCATCAAGTACAAAGATGATGAAGACCTGATTACCATCGACGGCCAGGACTCTTTTCTGATCGCCATCGAAGACTTTGACTCTTCTGGCAGCGCCTGTGTGAAGTTCTACATCTTCGAAGACAACACAGGCGTGGAGTACTCAGTCATCAATCAGAGCGAAGTCCATGAGGCCACAAAGCCTATCCCCGATACCTCTGTCGTTGGTTTTAATAAAACTCCGAGGAAGCCTTCAGAAGTGATGCCCGCAGCTATTGATGAATTTTCAAATGAGTGGAACATAGCTGTCAAGCAAGCAAAGACCAATTCTAAAGAAAAAGAATGTCATAACATACAGAAAAATCCAGTGGAATGGAGTCAAGCTTTTATCAAACCTTGCAAAATATATCAAATAGAGGAGAATAAATCAGACCAAAAGGCAGAGTCTCAAAGATTTACTGAGGAACCAAAACCTCTCCATCTTGATTTTTCTTGAGACGGATGAGGTGCATGTCCGATTGTTGGAGCTAGGTTTAGAAGTATTGTTTTGGATAATTACGACCTCTGTGAGAAATGAAGTAAATTTCTGCATCTTGATATACCGATGATTAAATTCAACTCTCATGATCATTTCCTCGAATATATGGCTGATCTGAACAGTCTGTATATGGACCAATCTGTTATCAATCAGCTTGAAGAGCAGAAAGCAAAAAGTGATGAACCAACAATTATAAAGAAAGACATATCAGATATTCCTCGGATTTGTCAAGTTGAAAGTATCAGTGACTATGATGCAATGATTGTTGACTCTATGCCAAGAACCAACTATACTATTGACTATAGACAAGATAGTATTTGTATCACATTCACAGTGAAGAATACAGGTATCACTGAATGGCCTTCAGCTTTTATGATCCACTTACTTGAATGAGATGATTACGAAGTCAGTACACAAGATTTCAAAGAGCTTGTTACTTTTAATCCAACCATTGATAGAAAGGTGAAGCCTTCTGAACAAATCAAGATTGATGCAACCCTAAAAACTCCTAAAAATGGAACATATAAATACAAGTTTTGCATGCATACAATGAACTACAAAACATTTGGAACGCCATTTGAATTCATCTTGAATGTGAAAGGATGCTCCGAATTTGCTAAGCCTCTTCCGAAGTCCTCTGTATTCAGACCTAGAATTCAGAACATGTTCCCAAGATACTTTAGAAAGCCAATAAAAAACAGTTGGTGGCAAAAGAAAAAGAAAGGATTCAATCAAAACTGTAATTATTTTGATTATTAGCCAATATTTCAACTATCTTATAAAATTCCCTCCAAATTATATGTAGTACACCTTAAGTGTCTTGAAATTCCTCATTGAGTGTATTATCTCTGAAGCAAACGCTGTTCAGTTTCCTCCAATAAAAAAAGCCAGCAAGAAAATATAGATAACGAGAAAAATTCGAACACAAAGGCATATAGCTAAACTGCCTTATCAAGATCTACTTTAATGTTTAATACACTCTAAAGCTAATTTTGTAAGCTTGCACTAGACCATGCAATTTATTCAGCATGTTTATTAGCGGTAGACTTAGTTTCAATATTTTTAGCATTAAAAGGGGTTTTGGGGTTTTGGGGTTTTGGGGTTTTGGG